GGATGGAAGGCTGAGTCAACCCTGAGCCGGTGAGATTTGAACAGCCGAACTGCAGATAACAGTCAGCTGAAGTGGCCTGCAGTGCTGCATTTAACTACTGCGCCACCTCGGCTCAAGTGATCTGCCCCCAATAATGGGGAGGGTGGAGGGAGAGCCTTTTCTGAGTGAGTGGGTGAGTACCACTGACTTCAGCTCAGGGTGTATTTTGCCTTCTCTGGAGGCATCCTGACCTCAGGTTCTGCATCTACCTCACCTTCCCCATAGCGAGTCTTGTGTGCACGAACAAAGGAAACACAATGCTATTTGCAGAGGTGTTTGTTGTACCTTGACTGGTAGTGTAGTGTTTTTTTTTCTGAGGATGACTGAACGATACAGAGCCATAAAAGCAGAGAGACAGCATGAGGCATTATTGCAAAGCTGTGTGGGTAGATGTGCAACTTGGAGAGAGGCTTCCCGGCCTCCAGAAAGACAGCATGCCCCACAGCCACTACAAAGCAGGACGAGGGAGCCTGCAATCGATCCTACCAAGCCCAGCAGGCTACGTGGGGGAGACTGAGGCAAGCCGAGCAGGATTGCAACCTAGAGTGAAACTAGGACTTGGGTTAAGAGTAAGTGTCTTAGGCCAGCATGGGAAACTACAGCTCCCAGGAATGCCAACCGACATGGCTAGAGCTGAGGAATGCTGGCGATTGTGGTTGGGCAGTATCTGGAATGCCACCCACTCCTCCAGCATTTCTCCCCAACTCAAACCACACCCCAAGCCTATTCTGGTTCAACCACAGAGCAAGCCGGGTTCCACCCAAACCTGGTTGAGGCTGCTTCCCCTTGTTCATCCTTCTCTCCTTTTCTTCCGGCAGCTACAAAGTCCTCCAGCGCTCGGCGAACATCAGCGAGACCGGAGTGATCGTGTGGTACCTGGCCCTTTGCCTTCTCCTTTCCTGGCTGATCGTGGCAGTTAGCTTGGTCAAAGGGATCAAGTCTTCCGGGAAGGTAATTGCAGGTGGGATTCAGCCGGTTCGCACTTATCCGGGAGAATTGGTTGTTAACCTTCTAAGCAGTTCGGAGAACCGGTTGTTGGAAGAAATCTCCTTTTGGTTTTTCCCACTTTACAGGGCTAATCCTGTAAGGAAGTCAGGAAGGAAACATTCTGGTGTTGTTTCTAGCCTAATCTTTATTGCCCTGCTTACAGAAACTGCCTCTCCGATTAACCCTTATTACATTGTAACACCTAAGGCAAAGCAGCGCCCATCGGTTGAGTCGGCCACGCCCACATGGTCACATGACCACCGAGCCCAGCCTATGCAGCTGGTCATTAGGGCAGAGAACCGGTTGTTAAATTATTTGAATCCCACCACTGCTCCTGGCCCTCGGAAGGCCGGCTGCCGGCTGGGCTGAAGGACTCTCATTTCGTCATTCCAGCAGCCT